TTTTTATAATCTGGATGTCCTTAGTGTCAAGTCCTGAAAGACGTAATAGTTCTATGAGTTTGTCATGTTTTATAGTATCGAATGCTTTCTCATAGTCGATAAAACAGACGTAAACATCTTTCTGTTGATCCAGGCATTTTTGAATCAAAACTTATATTGCAAAGAGGGGTTCTCGAGTTCCAAAACCGCATCTAAAACCGAACTGTGTTTTACTTATGCTGTGTTCTAATTTTGCTCGTATTCTGGAATGGATAATACGCAAAAATACTTTAAGGGTGTGGCTCATTAAACTTATAAGGCGATATTCACTACACGTCTTAGAATTATATTTCTTGGGAAGGGGCACAAATGTAGATTTCAACCAGTCCGATGGAATTTGACCAGTATCGTATATCTTATTAAACAGTTCCAATACTACATTCAGGTTGTTCTCGTTAAAAACTTTTAAGAATTCGACTGGTATTTCATCGCATCCTGTTGCTTTCCCATCTTTCGTTTGATCTATAGCTTTTATCACCTCACTTTTCAACATTTTTGGTCCATTCAGATCAAGAGTGTTCGTAGAAATATGACGATAATCCGTAAACAAATCTTTTATGTAGATTGCCCAAGTCTGTAACTGTTCTTCTTTATCTACAATAAGTTTATTGTTCTCGTCTATTAACCTACCAAACTGTTTTTTCTTGTAAGTACTCCTTGATTTTTTTATGCATGTTAAAACTATCGTGTCTTCGTTCTAGCTCTTCTATCTCTTGACATTTTTCTTGAAACCATTTCTCTTTGGATTATTTTATCTTTCTGCTGAGAGTTCTATCCAGTTCTTTATATTGTTCGGGATTATTCTTATTTTCCCTCCTTCTGTCCATAAGGTGTAATATTTCATCTGTCATCCACTCGTTCTTCTTCTTTCGCTCGGAGTCACCAATTACTTCTTTTGCACCGTTGCATATAGCGTCCCTTAAGTTGATCCAGTCTCTTTCAATATCATCAGTGTTGGTTGTTAAAGCAACATTATTATTATTGCTATTTGTAAGCTTGGCTTTTATCTCAGGATTTCTAAGTTGATCCATATCTAATCTTTTGTTATTCTGTTTCTGGATTATGGTTTTTAGTCTTACTCGTAATTGGGCTACAAGATGATTATGATCAGAGTTTATATCAGCTCCAGGATATGTTTTGGCTGATATTATTGCGTTACCGAATCGTTTGTTAATTGTTATGAAGTCTATCTGATTTCTAACGATGTACCCAGACCTATCCTGTGGTGACTTCCAAGTGTACAATCTTCTTACTGGTAGCTTAAACCAAGTATTTGTGATAATTAAGTTTTTCTCCTGGCAAAACTGTATTAGTCGATCACCTCGTTCATTTCTTGTTCCCAACCTATACTTGCCAACTACGTCACTGACTTCGCCTTTTCCTATTTTGGAGTTGAAATCTCCCATTACCATGGTTATGTCTTGTTTCTTTAGGTTTTTTATGATGTCGTCTAACTGTTCGTAAAACTCTTCTTCATCCGTACTCTCCGGTGTGGGAGCATAAACCTGAATTATATTTATGTCTAGAGGGTGCGCACTTAGCTGGATCAACATGCAGCGTTCTGAATATGGAATAAAATTTTTTATATGTTTTCTGATGTTATTATTTACTAGAACCGCTACTCCATGCCTATGGTTGACATCTTCTTCTCTGCTGCCTGAAAAAAATATTGTTGCATCCTCCTTCTCGCACTTACCATTACCTGGCCATCTTATTTCACTCATCCCCAGAATATCAATTTTGAGCCTCTTCATTTCATTAATTGCGTTGTTTAGTTTTCCAGTCTGATAAAGAGTTCTTACGTTCCATGTAGCTATTTTAATAGTATTTTTTCTATGTTTATTTGTTTTATCCAGTCGCATATTTCCCACGCAAGGCCTGGTACCCACCGTTGCGTGGCCGGTCTCTGATTTCACATCGTCCAGCCCGGAAACTCGACGACGCCGGTCGCTAATCGGGTCGCATGGCATATCATCTTTAAAACTCCTACTCGTCATGATGGCTTTACTAGGGATATATAATGTGGTAGTCATCCCGTGGCTTTTCACATCCTTATGCCGTTAACTACTTAATAGTTCCTCCGCCTTCGAAGCCGATTTCTCAACTCCAGGACAAAAGGGTGTCCTACCATTTACCAACTCATCCGCCCGAAGCCGTTGGTCAGTAAGTGTGGGATTGCTTATACCGGCAATCGCTCGGTGAAATTTTCGCCATATCTGGTTACCCTCACTTAGTTTAGCCTGCAAACCAATGCAGTTGCCCGGGGTGTGGCACGTGGAGCCATAAGTGAGAGTTAGCTGTCTTATGAGGACCAGTTATCAAGAACCATCTCCCGTCTATGACGCTCGATGTGGTCGTTCCGATAAAAGGTGCTACCTTTATAACACAACTCTACACCCCCTGTTTTATCTGGTTCCCTGAAATCTTCGAAGGTCAAACTAGAATTTCTAAAATTTTTTTTTCTTGACTATATCTCTTGCTTTACAGCTAAGTGCATTAACTATCGCATTAATGGTGACCGCTGGGGCTGTACTGGTGCACGTCCTTAAAAAGAAGTTTAGAAATGTGGCAGGATTAGTAGTCAAGGGAAACAGGCAAGGCTGTCAGGACGAGGGCTCTTATCTGTGATATAACAAGGTGGAACAAATGCAAAAATGGGGCGACAACTTTTACTTCACGTATTTTTTGACGAGACATTGGTAGTTCTGGTCGTTTACACATGGTATGGGGTCACCTATAGGCAAGGCCAACGAATTGATCAACAAAGCAATGGAAAATAAAAAAATGTTTGACTTGATCATTGATTTTGTCCTAAAAACCATGAAGAAGAAGAGGGAAGACGACAGCAGAGATAACTTATTTTATTAATTTATTTTACCAATTTGACTTATTTATTTTATTAACTATATATATATATATATATATATATATATATATATATATATATATATATATATATATATATATATATATATATATATATTATTCATACAGGTGTTTAGTATTTTAAGACTTTTAAATTTGATAATTTTAAGTAAATCGTGGACCTTAGTCCCCTACAATCAACTGTTAAAATACAAACGTGGCGAAAGGAGTTGTCAATTGAAGTATGAATAAATCAGTTTTTAACATCAGTTACGAGGGGCCGAACAACGCTGTGGTCGCCCCCCCCCCCAGGATGTTTATATTACAAACCGAGTCCAGGTGCGGGAGTAGGTGTGATCGTAGGATTGAAACGTTTTAAACGTTGTGACAGCCACAGTACTTGCACAGAAAGGGCCTAATGGGAGTATTAACAAAGTTGACGGGACAGATGACAATGCTCGCTAAGAACGGTCCCAGTCCCGTTAATTGGAAAAAGATGAGGTGAGTTTAGTTCATAGGCGGTCCGTTACAGTAAGGCGGAACGGACTGAATCCAACACACCTGAGACACCTTTCCAGAGGTCTTTAGAAGATTCTCACCTTCAAAAAAGTATGCTTCTGGTATAACCGAAATCGGTAGGAGACTCTAAATATTTAAGAATAATAAATAGGCATATTCAAAAATTCCTTATTCTGAACGTTGAAATATGAATTCTGTTAAGTTTCTCTAAAATGCCCAATTAGAACACTTAAAGAATCAGCCTGAATAAATTGCACATACAGTATAGCCCAAAATAAATGGTACTGAACTTGTAATTATTTTATTGTTTTAAAAATACATATTATTGACACTTTATAACATGTTCTAAATGAGCTCCTCCTATTTCAAGACTTCATACAGATATTCCAGATTTCTTGTAATGTTATGGAATAAAGGTTGTCTTAAGTCCGCGAAGAAGGCTCTAACAGCATCCTTTAACTCATTGATGATTTGTGGTGCCCGTTTAAAAACCCGTGCCCGTAAAAAAAATTTAGCCATGCCCCAAATGTATGCGTCTGGAGAATGTGCAGGATAGGGGAAATTCAGGGAAAATGTCCCTGGAGAAATTGACAAACTGCGACAGCAGTACAACAAGTTGCCCCATCCTGTTGGAATAATTGGTCTCGAAATGCTAAATTACATGCACAACAAAATTGACATAGACCAGGTATAAAGTGTGTTAAAATTTGTGTGTACCTCTGTTGATTAAGTGTGACTTGCCTACTATTTTCTTATATTGGTCCATAAACTATGGACCAATGATTCCATGTACCGAAACTGCACACCACACTCACTTTTGCGCTATGTAGAGGAACTTCTTGATCTTCATCTGGTCTGGCCAGAATTTAGCCATGTAAATCATCTAGCCCAGCTAGACGATTTACATGGCCTGACAAATGAAAATGTGCTTCATCTGAAAACCATACATTTTTCAAAAATTCAGGATTTTCATACTGTAATGCAAGAATTCTGGCACAATATTCCACTCTACTCTGGGATGTAATTGTTGATGTACCTGAATCACATACGAAAATGCACACAGCTCCTTCAGGATTCCTTGCAAATAAGTTCGTTTTAAGCCAAGATGAATTGCTGTTCTTGTCTGCTGTTAGCTGACCTGGGATGCCTGAGTTTCCTTTTAGTTGGCACAATAAATTACCCGTATTTCTAAACTTTTCAACAACCTTCAAAATTACAGCATTACTTGGAGAATGTTTATAAAACCTTTGTGTGAATTGATCACACATGTATTGCAGACTTGCACTATTACGTCGGCCGATTCCGTATGAGCGAAAATAATGCTCCACAAGAAACGCTTTCTCGTCTGTACTTAACAACATTTTTAACAATTAGACCTTAATAATTAATTGTTTAAGGATTACTTGACATGTCTATACTGGTTAATTTGAATATAACAGAGCATACAAAGAGACATCTATGTTTCAGTTTCAGTACTGTTTATTTTGGGCAATACTGTATATTCAACAAATTTTTAGCATTTCTTAAAATTTAGTACATCTAAAATTTCTTTATTAATTTAGTGAACTTATTTTTAGTTTTGATCGACTAGCTGCTGAACATCATTGTTTAAGGATAAAACTTCTTGGCGACTGTTACTATTGTGTTTCTGGATTGCCTGAGGCCAGACCAGATCATGCACACTGCACTGTAGAAATGGGACTTGATATGATCGATGCCATAGCGTAAGTAATAAACTGCATTAATGCTTTTTGATTTTAAAATATAACTCTTTAAGCTATTAGTAATGAAAAAACACATTATTTAAATAAAACAAAGTCTTTTTCTAGCTTTACTGCATTTGAACTTTGTATTAAAGTAATTTAATACAATACAAAGTACCGAAACTGGATTTCGTTTATATATCGTATATATTTATTACATATATATCGCTACTTCAATACAAAAGAGCCACAAACCAAAATTACAGTTTTTACAGGAGAGCTATGCAAAGTTTTGGCCTTTGTTTTTTGTTAATTTCTCTTTTATTTTATATCATTTATATCCAAGTTAAGTATTGTTAGAAAGGTAAATTTAAATTGTATTTGATATTGTATTCAGATACAACGTAAGTATTTTCCTGAAAGAGATATTAGCAGATGTGTCTCTTTTGTATAAAAAATATTTGTGATATCATTATAAGTATTGAAAATAAAAGTACACATACCAAAGAAATAAAGATTTTAATCAATGTTTTTGTCATTACTTTATGTAGATTTTAGTACAATTATTACAAAAAAAAAAGATGACAATGTCAGGTTATCAAAAAAAAACAAAAGTTAGTTATAAAGCTAAATAAGTCTTGGTTTCGGAAATATAATAAAAGTCTGTATCTTAAATTACAACTATGTAGTTACTCTCAAGTTACATAGATAGGTAGTGATAACTTATTAAAGACACTTCAAAAATGACCTATTATTTTTACACGGTACAATTATTATTTATAACTAGCTAATAAAAACACTGTCACATTTTGGTCATAATTTGTACTTATTGAGTATTAGTTGCATAAACAACTAGAAATATTAAGAAATCGCGATAAAAATAAATCAACCGTTTATAAGAATCTGTGTAACTCTATACTTGAACATCCGTCTTAAAGATTGGAAAAGAATCCGTCGGGATCCTCAACACTGTCGTCTGAAGAGAAATCAGCCCTGGAGCTGCTTGAAAACGAAGACGAACTACTTGAAGACGAAGCCGAGCTGCTTGAAGATGAAGACGCAGAGTCGCTGTCATATTCAGTTCCCTGAACTATTACCTTTGGCCTGATGTCTAGGGTATTAGCTTGGTAGTTTGTACCATCGTCACAAAAAAGATTTAAATTGTGTTGGCTACCAGGTATGGCATTAATGTATGGTTTTGTTGAATCGTAAAGTAGTGGATCAACATTTTGTGGTTGGGTTTAAAAGTTTACTAACATAGGCAGAGTGTCATAAGTGTTGGCTTGCACCTTGAATCCGATTTCTTGAATTTTCCCAGGTTTATTAGTACTGGTTTTACACCCAACCATGTCGAGGATTCTATGCACTCTTCTACTCATTCTGCAACAAATAAATTGTTGATGTACAATTAACAATATCAGATTTCTCTTTTTATTAGAATTGCACAAGTAAAATATTTTGGTTTTATATAAATACATAAATATAGACTTCAGATATCAGATAATTAATTACAATTAAAAATTATGTACTTTACTTAAAAGTAAAAGTAATTTATTTCCCTATACAGCTGTGATGTGATTGTTATACATAATTTCTTTTTCGAGATAAGAATGTGATTACTTTTCATTATGGTATTACGAAGCCTAAACAAAATTAAAATAAAAGAATATCAGTCCCATTAATAATAACTTGATATCCACGGGAAGCGATTCAAAAAGGATATTTTGTTTACGTACGATAAATTCAAGTACCTAAATGATTGCTTGTTACTTAAATTATGAACTAATTTGCGAAGTAGCAAAATGCATATTCATATCATATTATATCATACAATGTCCAAAACAAAATAAGATACACGGTATTTTTTACGCTCTCAATTAAAATTGGAAATATACACGTTGTGTTATATGATATTCAAACTTCTGAATTATATTAAAATAAGATGTTAGACTATCACAATGAATACAATATACAAGTAAATGAAAAAAACTGCATTTTACTTTATAATAACATTTTACTGTCATAAAAAATGCAAAAGAGTCGTACCTATCACACTATATGGCCCTTTTTAAATTTAAATGATATAATAGCTCCGAGAATATCATAAGCAAAATGAACATATTCAGTAATACATCCTTTTTGATTAAGAAATAAAAATATATATATGCCAATATTTTGTATTCAATGGCCGTATTTCATTACACATCCCTTTTGTTTAAGAAATAATAATATACTTACGTGAATCTTCTGTGCAAAACGGACGTACTTCAGAATGTGGCACTTTTGTTTATAAAAACGATAACAACGACTTGGGTTTTTTGAAATGTGGCTGTTTAACACAAAAAAAACGTGCGATCACTTCGACTGTCAGGACGCAACTAACAAACTGGCGGTTTTGTCCATATTTGTTCTCTCAAATATAAAAATGCAAAAAGGGCGCTAGTGTCATTTCGATAATAAACAACGTAAAATATGTAGGGGTTTCAGTGGTATATCAAAATATGACTGCTTAACGTTAGATTTTTTAAATAAACGCTATTTTCGATTTTTTTGATTTGTGGCCCTTTTGTATTGAAGTAGCGATATATATATATATATATATATATATATATATATAATTATATATATATATATATATATATATATATATATATATAGATATATATAGATATATATATATATATATATATATATATATATATATATATATACATAAATATATATATATATATATATATATATATATATATATATATATATATATAGATATATATATATATATATATACATAAATATATATATATATATATATATATACATATTGTTATGCTATTTAAATTGTATTCTATTGCTTATTTAGAAAAGATCCTGTCTATATTTATTAAATGATCTAATCTCCAATTAATTATAATAAATCAGCATTAATTAATTACAATCTCAGGCTATTTAACTTGTACTATTTACCTTTGATCGTGGATTCAAAATATTTTCCAATTGGCTTCCTAATTGGTAATATGACCTGAATAAAATACACAGAATTTCAACTGAACTATATGTGAGATGTCCTTTATTTTAATGAAATTTTATATAACAATCAATCCTGTAATATTTGCAATATAATACTTTAAATATATATGAGAAGTTGTTTTCTATCATGGACCCAAATGTTATTTTACATTGATTTTTAATATGTGTTATAACTAAGCTCTCTTTATAATTTTTTTCTTTAAATGATCGCAAAATTAACTGTCTCTATTATTTATTCAATTTATTTAATTAATAAATGAAAACCACACTCCTGCTCTAATGAAAATTGACTGACCTTTCGTTCTCTGCCGTTGTAATTCTATGGCCACGCCATAAAAAAAACCTTTCTCTGCTTCTGCTCCTATTGTGGTCCAGATGACGTACACCTTTCTCCTATCTGTCCTTGTATCTGCAACCCAACAACTCGTGTAATTCTATGCAGCCTCCTTTTGAGCGAATCTCCGCGCCTGTTTATAACTTCAAATGTTTCCGGCTTCGTCTGATATTAATATTCTTATACCCTTTGGTTTTTCTATCTCTCTGTACCCCGTTCCTTACACTGATCAGCTTTTTCACAGCAAATAAACACACCCGGTAAATTACGTCTTCGGGACTTCAAACAAACACAAACCACAAAGCTCCTTCCTTCTTGGGCGACGAAAACTGACTAACTAACTTTTTTCCTCTCTCCTATCTCATAGCCAAAACCACTACCTCCATTGAATTCAAAAATTGACCAATCAAAATCATCCACCCCTGTGACGTATATCGTTACCAAACAACTCTCTTTATAAAACGTCATTCGGGTAATTCCAGAAAACAACATTCTTTAATTATTCTAACTACATCTATCTGCTTTACAAAAAATTTCTTACTAATAGCTACAAACGATACCTGTTTCTCAATTCAATGTCTTTTGTTAATAAACTTTTACCGATATAATCTTTCGGGGAGAAAAACCACCGCACATCCCGGTCTATTGTTTAAACACTTTCTACATACACTTTTATTACGGGTAAATCCATTCCACAATAACCGACTTATTTAAATTTCTTATCGATAATATTTGAAAGTCTTGTCTCTGAGGCCTAATGAACAATTCTTCGAACAACTTAAAATACATATTTTGTCTTATACAGGAAGTTTGAAAATTTATATGCCCGTGTCTTTATGAAATATCAATAATTTTAATTTTTATTTAAGTAATAAAATTTGTATATCGGTTTTTTATTGCTTATGGACATTTAAAAGTACAACAATATATATATATATATATATATATATATATATATATATATATATATATATATATATGTATATATATATATATATAGGGCCCGCGTAGCGCAAGCGGTAGTGTGCTTGCCTCGCATGCCGGTGGTCGTGAGTTCGAATCCTACCGCCGGCAAGAACAACTAGACATTTTTAAAATGTCTATAGGCCCCAGGTCGACTCAGCCTGAATAAAATGAGTACCTTGGGTAAAACCAGGGGTAATAATAGGCGTTGAAGCGTAGCACTGGCCATGTTACCTTCCTTGTATACCGTAGGCCCTAGATATAGCAGACTACCCTGCTATACTCCCAAAGCCGCGTGCGGTATAAAACGGGAGACTATTATTATTATATGTATATATATATATGCATAGAAACAGAAATAAGGGAATTTGAAGAAGGAGACAAGGTATATCTGAGAGACTTAAGTAGCACGACCTATCAAAGAAGTTACAGAAAAAATGGATAGTACCATTTGAAATTATAGAAAAAGTCGTACCAGTGACATATGCAGTGGGTACAAAAAAGGGAAAAAATAGACAGGTAGTGCACATCAATAGGTTAAAGAAATATTACGAGAATGAAACAATTGATTACTCCACGGAGGAAGAAGAAGAAATAATAAAATCCGAAAAAGAAGAAACTTGAGAAGGAGTTAACCCTTCGAAGGTGGCAACACTGCCATTATGGGGACCAGGAATTTCACTTAACCCTCCGTTAG